TTTAATGGTTTAAATAAATTATTTGAGCTAGATTTATAATAAAAAGCTAATAAAAATAATAAAATAAAAGTAAATAAATAATTTTATTTATTTAATAATACAAAACACATWTTTTGTATCTTTTCATCAGCTTCATGACAGCAACCAGATTTTCAACGAAGAAATTAGAGTTTATCAATATAATTTGGATGTTCAAGAAGTTACACGTTCAATATACATGCGATACGTACCGACCTGTATTGGGCTTAGACTTCGATACGRGTCGGTACGTAACTATCATAGAGTCTATAATATTAGACTGTCTATGACATATTAATATGTGTATGGTAACTATTTTCAGTCGATACGTATCGAGTTCTTCTTGAAAATCTTGCAAAACTATATTCAGTGACTTATCAAATTTTGAAATATAAAACTGATAGATAGTGCTACAATTTTCCCGGTAACTGCCGTAACAGCTGATGTCGTTCAAATGATAGAGATTCGTTCGTTTCTGACGTTTCCTGTTAATTTTGTGTGACGTGTGCATTAAAAAAAAAATATTAAGCAATGTCAAAAGGGACTAATAGAGTGGGCTGCCGTATTTGACCGTACGCCGGACTGCGATCCGGTTGTATTACTTGTATTTCGTAATATTTTATAGAGACCACGACATATGCAACCTGTTTTATATTGTATGTTTGAATACGTCTTTAGTGGTTAGTACGGAATTATCAGATTAAGCCGATTAGGRGAATGACAGGGTTARTATATGCTTTCTTTTACATGCAAATAATTTGAATTAAATTATTGATTGTCTTTTATTAGTTTCTTTACTCAAATTTTTTTATTTTTTGTATTTTACAATTTGAAATACACAATCTATACAACATAGCACAATAAGTATATATGATATTATAATAGYAACATGAATATCTTGAATTAAGAAATCATCCATTGGTGACAYTTGGCTGGGAATTAACGCTGTCTAGAGTCTACTAGTCTAGGACTTTGTTTTTTTTTTTTTTACTCAAATTAAATAACTTTTCTGCCACACAGTACTTACTACTTATATAATAAAAAATGTATAAACATATTGTATGCTTGATCACTTCCGGCACTCATCAGTTGTCACAAAACTCAATTATATTGTGTTGTCTTGTTATCTATTTTTTTGAGGCTTTTAAGAAAATAGGTAGTATTAACAATTATTATGTAATTACTCAATTAGGTGCCTAGTGCGGCACGCGAAATTTTAAAACATGTCACGGCGCATTTACCATCCGACTATCTTATCACATACAAGATATATGATAATAAGTTGACATTGATAACAAATTTGAATTTTGTTAATTACA